GGAAAGAGCAGAGAGTGAAGAGAAGAGCATTTGATTAAACAGTATTTTACATATTAAAACAATGCATTTACACTAATTCTATGTGCTACATTTCATACTAATGAAAAAATAACGTATTACCTAGACTTTTTTTTTGGTACAAAGATAGTTTAAATAGGCATATACTTATCTCTATTAAAGGTTTTTTTTTTTTTGAGAGAAGTGATATCCAATGCGATAGTCACCTTTTGTGTCGCCAGATGGACAAATCTTTAGTTTGGGCTGTAAAATGGCTTCAATGTAGTCAGAGGAAATAGGCTGTAACCCACAGGTTTCCTCAGGGTGAATCAGCAAACCACAATCCTGCATTAAAACGATAGAAATTAGCTGTCATAGTAATTAACCCGACCCGCAGTAATAAAATCTAAAAAATAAGACTTTCTGTGTTGAATAACCTTCATGGTTTAAAGGCGCCATTCTTATTTACCCTTTGTGGAGGTATTGGCTTATTAATTGTTGTGCTACAAGGAGCTACTTGTATTAGGGGATTAATAGAACTTCTAATGACAATTTAATCTTTACTTTGGCATTAATATTCATCTATTGCTCTGCCAATTTTTAAAGAAATGGATGGAAGTTTTACTTTAAAAATATACGTGTGTGTTGACACATTAAATATATAATATACTATAATAGTGGACAATATTATCCTCTAATATTATGAAAAAGAGAGTTAATGTGAGAAGGGAAAGGGAAATATTTTGGAAGAACATTAATTAATAGATGAATTTTCTTTCAACAAACATTTATTAAGGACCCACGATATGCCAGAAATGTAATTGAATACATGTATTTTATCCAAAACTTGTTCATATATTTATAAAAGTAGCTAACATCTCACTGCAGTGAATATCATTACAGACGCATGTTTTGTACTAAGTAACGCCTTCCACAGTCTGACATGTCCAGCAGATCAAACCATAATTATTTTCTCTTAGCTTAGTTTTCTAAGTCTCTCATTTCTGGTCTGCTCTAGGCTTAGGCAGGACTGAACACGGTAAGCTGAATTGAGCTGTACTTCAAGGCACTTGTACCTGTGCTGCGTCCTTCTATCCTACCTCACCTGGTTCCACTGCTGCCCTTCTCATCAGCTTCTCTCAGCCTATCACACTTTAGGGCAGGTAAGAATGCTCTCATCTCTGTCAGAAATGCTTTTCCCTAATGTTGCATAGAGAGTATCTTTCTGCATTTAAAGTGTCAGAAAGGCCTTTTTGGAATTCTAGCACAATTATGCACCCCCGCTTTTGCCTATGTCAGCACTGTTTATTTCTTTGATACACTACGATTCGATAATGTTTGTTATTTGTTGTCTTTTCCACTAGACTGAATACTCCATGAGAACAAATAATTATTTTACACATCTACCCAATCCCTACCATACAGCAGGCAACAATAAATATTTATTAAAAGCATAAAACGTTAAAGTTCTCTCTCTCTTTATCTGATAAATTCTCAGTAATGGAGGGAAATAATTGGTTTGACCTCTTCTTTGCTCTGTAACTCTGCCTCTAATGAGCAATTTCTAGTAACTTTCCCTCCTCTCAAATATCCTAATCCCCAACTCAGATGCCGAGATCTCATACAAAAAGGTCCAGAATGTTAATGGACAAAAGGTATGGGGTGGTGTACAGACTTCTTGAATCTTGATTCAGTAAACATTTTCATTTTTAATTCATGACTGAGTTTAGGATATTAATTAAAGATTAAGAAAGTAATCTATATTAAAATTTTTGTTATAATAAAGCAATTTAAAATAACACAAAGCTTATAATACTGTGAGGAGTTTTTAGTATGAAGAAACATCTATGAATGAGATGTTAGTGTGTGTGTACGTATGTGTGTGATATCTGTCTATACCTTTAGTTTCGGTGGATACTGGACTTTTTTTAAGGCTAGAAAATGTCATATGCATGTATCAGATTAAAAAATGTGTATATTAAATGTTAGGAAGAGCTGTGAGAAATAATTACCATTATATACTGCTGATGGGAGTGTGAATTAGTTTGGAACACAGATTATATTCAAATTAAAAATTCAAACTCCATAGCCCTAAAGTCAGACTTCTTAGAGTCTACCCTAGAGAAACCCTCATGAAATGCATAAAAACATGTATAAAGACAGATCTAAATGGACTAACGTGAAGATATTTCCAAGACACATAACAAAAAAAACTTGAAGAACATGTTTTCTTACAGAACAATACATGCCACCATGGACATGTCACAAAGTCACCTAAATTCAAATATTTCGGGCAAAGTTGTGTTTAATTTATTAATCATATGTATTATTCATTCTATATGATCATGTACATATGCAAATGTTGAAATATTCCTAAAAGTCTGGATTTAGTTAAACTTTTGCCTGAAAATCATTGTTTGGGGTCTATGTGGTATGTATGTTAATGATCATGTCCTAATATTCATCTGGACGGCATTAGAAAGAGAGTCCAGACCACAGCTGCCAAGGTCCTAGCTAGTCCTTTCTGTTGAAGCCCTGCATGTAATTTTAACATATCAGTCAATGAGAAAGATGTACTGTTACGTGTGCTGATGGCTTGCCCTGTGGGAAACCAAACTCAATCACTGATAAGTGGGTGTGGGTTATTTGAAGTAGGTTAGTTACCAGTGGCTTTCAGAGGAGACGACAGTTGAAGTGAAGATGAAAAAAATTGGGGGGAGGGGTCAGAATTCTAAGAAGAAGAAATTGCATGTCAGAAGCCATGAGGTGGTAAAAGGATTCATCTGACATCTTAAAAAAAAAAAAAAAAAGTCATTTAAAAAAACTGATATGCTGACAATCTATATTTTAATAATCAGATTGTAAAATCTTTTCTTGAGAGCTTGTTTGGAAGTTCTAGCAGGGGAGCGCAGCCACTTGTATACCCTTGACCAAAGAATGGTCCTCTCTTCTATCGGGGAAGGTTGTCCTCTTCCACAGAGCGCACAGCGTCAGGAGGGACACACATGGCCTGGTGAGGGAGGAAGGGGACACCCGCCTAGCCAGTCAGATCAGCCGAATCAACCCTGGCGATCAATGGGGTGACAGATGTCTCAGCCAGATTGCCCTCACATCCTAAAATCTTTTCTTGATATGGCACCTCCAAAGTTACTTACTACAAACTTCTAACTCAGAGGAAGAGTGATTCATTCATAATGTGATCCTAAGTATTATGGATACGCCTTTAAAATAGAAAGGTATTAATTTAATATCTAGAATGTGCAAAGTGCTATACTGAGAATGAGAGGCCCTGACCTCAAGAGCAACAGTCTAGCTCTTTGTCAGAAGTTTCTTCTTAATCTTGAACTGAAATCTATATCTTATTTGCTCTAATTACCCTCTTAAGTTAGTTTAGAACAAATTTACTGTAATAATGCAGAAGCATGTTTTCTGATCTGACTTTAAGATAACAAAACAAATGACTGGCAATAGAATATGATAAAAGCTTTAAGGGTTCAATGTTTACATGTTCTGAATACTCAAGACCCCAGATATGAACCCATGATAATAGAGAAAACATAATACAGAACACAGAAGGCGTAGTGTAAGTGAGAGCCAGTCTGAGTGTCTGCTCCTGCCACTTAAACCCTTGGCCTTGTCTTTGTGTTTGAATTATTACTGGCCTAGTGCTGTTTCTGCCTCAGTTGGAGGTCTCCAACAGCTAGTGAGCCTTGTTGGTTCTAACCGATCAGCCACGACTCTAGTAAATTCCAAGATAGGACAAGAATCAAAGCAATATTGCAAATGATAGACAGAGCAGAGACTGGGAGAGAGATGGTAGATTTTGAAGTAAATAAAATTTAGTCACACCCTTTTCTCTTTAGTTTAGGTCCAAGAATATTCTATTGTATTCTGTGCTTCCTTTTGAATTTATCCTGAGCAGTTCATATATCCTAATCCTTCATGTTTTGGAAAACCAGGGAAGCCTGCTGGAGTGGATATGAATCGTTTTTTAGGTGCAGCCAAACAGTTACCCTTAAAGTTGAGTGAAACAAAGCAAATGGCAGGGTACAGTCTGACGTCCAGAGACTGGCTGACGGAGTTGAAGGAGGCATCGGTATAGCTGGGGGGCTTTGTGTACATTTTATGAGATAAGAGAATAGTGGAAAGAGCTGGAAAATAACTGGAAACACTGAAAACAGCACCACTGTGTTAGAGCTCACACTTGTGAATTTTAGTTCTAGCTTTACCATGAACTGGCTATGTGATACTAGTAAGTCACTTGATCTAGTTTTCTCAGTATAAAATGGTGAGAGGTGGAAAGAGTAGAGGGAAATAACCATGTTAAATGACCTCAAGTACTGCAACAATGTTGGGTACTCACACAATATCCATTCTCCCTTCTTCCTTTCTAACAGAAAGGCCTTTGTTTTGTTGTAGGTAGCAATGTATCTAGCATTAAAACAAACAAACACAAACAAACAAAACTCTACTTCCTCATCTCCTTTGAAGCTAGACATGGCTGTATGACACAATTCTAGCCAAAGAAATTTAAATGTAAATCAGCTATGAATTTCTAGAACAGTTTTGCTTCCCTGATGCCACTTTTTCTTTGTCATTCTTGTTTCTTCTTATTACTTGGAATGCAGATGTGAACCTGAGGGGCAGCTACCTTGTGATCATGAGGCAACCAAGAGCAGAAAGAAAGACCTCGGGCTGCTTACCTTTGCACTTCTAGCTATGGAGGAAAAACCAACTCCTACTTGATCGAACCACTATGGAAATATAAGATGCAGCTGAACTTCTCTCTTTCTCTAAGTCTCATGAAACCTGTTCTTCTAGGGCCATATGATTCTTTTGAGTATTCATTCATATTTTAAAAGTGATTACTTCCACTAATAAAAAAAAAAACAACTTAATTTGGAAAGGAAAAAACTCATTAGTATCTCTCATTTGTTTTTTCCCGTGTGTGATCAGTAATTTGGTCAAGTTCAGGCATATTCGAGAAAATGAATGACAGCTCTTCTGGTCTTAAGTGTAATCTCTTGGAGCCTGACTTTAAACATATAAAAAAGGTAATATTCAGCAGAGTTGGTTAAAAATGGCACTAACCCCAGAAAGCTCCACAGTTAAGCATATTGTTTTGCTGGAGACTTCACAAATTCCTAAGTGGACTGTCATGTCCCTCAATAGTGTGCAGTAAGGTAATCAACAGGGATTTTCTTGTTCAAACATGTGCAGAGTATATATGTTTATTATGTAATTTAAAAAATTTTACTTAACTTTTCATGAAGTGCTACACCAACTAACAGAAGATATTAAGGTGCCCTTGGCTTTGCCCTGTGCACTAACCACAAATTCATGAC